CTGTGAAAATATCTGCCCGATATTGGCCAGCTTCGGCTCGATTCTGGCTGCAAAAAACCGTACACAAGCTGGACACTATCATCAACAGCAGCAACTGGAAATTGTTTCCAAAATATCAGCGACAGTGGCAACTCAGCTGATCGCTTTATACCTCTACATATATACCCTAACCATGATGAATGCTTCTCATGTAGCCGACATCTAAGATCCAATTTTCATCTGATTTCAAATCCAATAAAATATAAGTTTGAAACCATTAAAAAATATTAGTCTATTGTTCATTGCGTACAATATATTACTAAAAATATATTGCTACTTGTCATAAAAATCGTCTTTTCTTCTTGTCAAGATAATCATTCAAAATTATTTCCACAGAGTATCTTCTTATCAAAAAACAAAATTTCTTTGAATTTATCCATGATTCTTTTTCGTTTTTTTTTTGGAATTAACAAAAATTAACTATTTGCACCCAAAATTAGATTCAATTTCACACTGTAAAAAAAAATTAATATGAACATCATTAATATCAAATGAACAAAGAAAAATTTGATTATCTGTCGTATCTACGGTAGAAAATAGAGAAAACAATGCAACACATACATAAATAGAGATTAAATATCAAAATAATCTTTCATAAGGTAAAGTTAAATACTTTCCTGTTTGTGAATACACAAGTTTTTGAATTCGTTCAAAACATATACTATCACGAAACCAAGTATAACGAAATAATTGATTCATATCTGGTCGAGCAAATGTATTCTTTTCTAAGGTTTTTATAAGAATTTCTTTAAGATCTCGTTTCGTATGTGACACTGAATTCAATGCACGAATACCTCGTAGACGAAAAATTGTATCTCCAACATAAGCATTTAGTAGTGTCATACCGAATGACCAAACCTAAATGAAAAAAAAACAGAAAAAAGTTATCTAAACTAAATTGAAATTAAACAAAAAGAATAAATATGATCAAATTTTTCCAAACCATATTTTTATTTAAATAAATCCAGATATTCTTAGTTTGTATGTTATAGATATGTGATAGCAGCGTTTAAGAATGATTGAGATTTTTCTATAAATCCCGTTATTTATCATCAAACAACAAGAAATTAGACTGAAGCTACGTGTCTAGCTGAAAGTACAGGGTAATCTTCAAAAAACTGACTTTTCTTTGATTCAGTTAAAATGTATTATATGCTATCAAACAGTCCAGATAAATTCAATAAAGAACAAAAGACTAAAACTTGATGGACCTTCATATAGAATGAATTTATTTTTATTTCAGTTCGTTTTTATTAAAATATTTTCTATTCAGTTTAACTCATAGATAACAACAATTCAATTTCAAACTATGATCAATTCATTTATCTATATATGTATATATTAATTAACATGACAATAACGAAAAAGAAGCGATGCAAAAATCTATGATTAATGACTTGATGAAATATTATCGTAAACAAAAATATTTATTTGATTAGGACACAATCATTTTTTGTTTTTCTACAGGTATCATATTGCATCGTTTTATTGCGGTGATTGCAATTCATGTAAATAAATAAAGCTATACGTCGTCGTATCTTTCGTTTTTCCTACTAAGTCTGAGTATTCTTTATCATAATCACCTTGTACTGGTAAACAGCAATAGTCATCGTTAACATAATAAGACAGTAGGTCATTTGTTATAGCGACACTTTATTGATGTACAGTGTCTGTGACGTGGGAATGGGGGAATGTTGCTAAGATGTCTACGACGACCTGATAGGATAGGTTCAAATTTTTACTCTTATACTTCAACATTCATTTTGAATAATGTTTTCGAAAATTTTAAATTTCATACATCTGCATTTGTTGAATGTCCTGTTTGACATTGTACTTCTGGTGCCATAAATTGTTGAGTACCAGCAATAGTTGTATTTAAATATCTTGATGATGCATAAACATATTTAGCTACACCAAAATCACTTAATTTTGCAATTGTTTCTCTTTCATTTGACATAAGAAGAACATTAGCTGGTTTTATATCACGATGAACCTAAAATAATAATAATAATAATACAAAAATATTGGAAATAAATATTTCAAGTTTTATTTTAACTATTTTAATTCGATGTAAATATGCAAGTGCACAAGCAATTTGATAAAAAATAAATTTACATTCATCTTCAGTCATAATATATGTTTTATGTATTCGATCAAATAATGAACCACCACCAGCATATTCCATTTCAACAAATAAATCAGATTTTTCATGATAAACATTAAAACGACGAAGTATACACGGATGATCAACACTACCATGAATAGATCTTTTGTTCGAAAAGAAAAAAAAAACAAATATTTTTAATTGAAAATTTCTTTAAAGTAAAAATCAAAAGAGACTAAAATAAACATTTATTTACACTTCTCGATAAAGATATTTTGAAAAACCTGAACCAATTTGTTTTTCACATTGATCTTTATTGATAATTTTCATAGCACGATATGTTTGTGTTACAAATGATATAGCTTTATAAACATTAGCAAATGAACCTGAACCAAGTAGATTAGCTTTTAAATATCGTTCATCAAGATCAACAACACCAAATGAACCTGATAAATGAATAAATCTATATGCACGATTTTCTTTTAAAGCAAGTGAACTACAATTAAAAAATTCCTTTTTTTCTTTTGTAAAGATAAAAATTTGTTATTTAACTTACATAATATGTTCATTATTTTGAAATGAAATTTTTGAATTATGAACAAGTTCACCATCAATATAACAACCATTTCTACTAACATCTCGAAAAACTATTGATCGATCATTATTTGTATATTCAATTATAAAATGTTTAGAACTTATATGAATAAAATATTCATGTTGTCGAAGTTCATTTGAATCTAATACGATATCGCATTCAGTTGGATGACGTCCAATTATATATGATGATTTTGTTAAGATTTCACGAGGATATATATTATTAATCGGTTCTAAATAACCCCAAGGAATTGATGAATGTGATGCCATTTAGAAAAAATTTACAATGGTTGATTCAAATCGATAAAAGTAAACGAATCGAATAGATAGATAGAGTGGAAAGACGAAAGAGAAACAAAGAGAGAGAGAGAGAAAAATCAAGTGATCGTCGGGCAATGTTGTCGCTAGAAATTGGCATTACCTTCCTTCATTTTCTTCTTTTTTCGCCATTCTATCCTATTGTATCGATGTGAAGTATGTGATGAACGATTATTTATGCAAACAATAGAGTAATAAAAAAACAAAAACATACAACAGTTTTAACGACTTTTTTCTGTACATATTTTATTCAATTTTTCTATAATCTATTAGACTCTCATCTCTAAAGATATAATGAACAAGAACATCTCGGGTAGATATTTCTTGTAATGAATGTAATTCAGAAAATCTTCTCCATTATGATTATTGAAAAACATTCCACATTAAGTTGAACCATTGAAATAAAGTTCATCTTCATTAACTTTTTATTGTAATATATAAACTAATTATTGTCTTAATTGAAAACTGTTTTGCAAAAATAATATTTCATATAAAATAAAATAGACTCTTTAGAACTTCGTGCGAAATAAATGTGAACAAAGTCACATGAAATGTATTTGTCATTACATTCTCAAACGAATAAATGTATAAATATATTGAATATAATCATTCCAATGAATGAAATGTAATGAATTTCTTATTTTCTTACTGAGGGTTTCATTGTTAATCTTTCTTTTTCAATATCTACAGTTTTGTTTGTTATACTTTCGTGTTTCATTTTTGTTGTATGAAAAAATAGTTTTATCGTTTTATATAAGTTAAACAGTGGCGATTTACAGATAAGTAACGATGAAATAGAAAATCCAAATAGATTCTACCGAAACCCAAAAATTATAAAAAGCTTTTTAAAATCTATAAGAATTTGAAAAAATCCATTAAGAGAAAGTTCTTATTATCTACTAGTTCTTAGAACAATACAACGAAGAAATGGATGTTCGTTCCTGATGAATTCCAAAATATTCAAATTTCAGTGCACTCCGTGAAATCTTCTATAAGATTTATTGAGCTAAAGAAAGCTCATATTCTAGATACGTTTCTCAATGTCCTTCTATGACGGATGTGTTTAATTAGAATAATAAATTACATGTTAAATAAGTTGAAAGAGACAGGAATCAAAAAATAATAGTTAATATTATTAGATACGAAATTCATGTCAATTACCATTTCTTTTAATAATAAACAAAAAACTCAGTATGACTATATTCTTGAATTACAGTCATCAGATAGCAAAAATTCTTATTATTATGAAAATAATTTTTTAATCACTTCATTGTTCGCTTTAATATTGTTTATTATTTCTATAATATTTTCATGTTTCACTTTTCTTCATGGACTAATTTCATATCATGAAAACTTAAAATGTTAATTTTCCATAATTTTGCGAAAAATTTTGCTTTCAAATATTATATTTGAGTAAAAAAAAAAAGAAATATTGTTTTCATTCAATTGAACCAAAGATCGATTGTGAGTCGAACTTCACTCAGTCATTTGTTTTCTGGTATGTTAACTTTAACTTGTCTTTTTTTTTTAGATTATGATTCATAATCATCAAATTTTTTTCTCCACGGAATGGTACAATCACGCGCCATCTGTCTTTTTGTATTGGTTTCTTGTTTTTATATTACGTTTTTTTTTCGGAGTACAATATCATTTAGAAGATTATTCAACTGGAAAGGTATGTACAGACCAAACTACCAAATAAAGAACATGAAAGAAAGTTGGAGAACGAATGTTTTCTTTCTTTCCCCTTCGTTTTTTATTCTTTTGACATTATCATAGACATCTTAATGACATCTATCACGTGATTCTCGTTGGAGTCTAAATATAATTCGTTTTTTTTTCATAGTCAATAGTGTTATATCTACAATGTGGTTGGTATTCACAACAAGGTAAACGATACGTATTCAATCAGTCTACTACAATACAATATTCCTTTCTATTAAATATGCCGTCTATTTTATATTCTACGACATGTTATATCAAAAATGATCTCTATCATTTAAGTATATATGTTGATAATAATGATCAAAATTCTACTAATACACAATTAACAACAGCCCCATTTGAATTGATATCTAATGAAATTTCAATAGATAATATTATACCTTCATTAACTCGATTACATTTTGAGCCCGTAAATGAGAAAAAGAATACAATCGTTCCTAAAGATATTATCCTTGATCATTTACTTAGTGTTCAACGAACATACATGAAATCAAATGGAAATAGAGAAATAAATAATATGAATGTTATAGAAACATCATCCATTGCTCAATCACAACGAACAAGTTATACAACATTGAATTCAGTTGTTTTAGACGATACTATATCACCAATACCAACAACATGTCGAACACCTGATTCTCTAAGATTCTTTTCTACTAACTCACGTATGGATAGCGAAGCTAATTTAATATGTAACGCATTAATTAAGTTAAGTTATGTGGATGTATCTAATTCAATTCGATGGAATATAAAAAGATTAGAAATTGAACTCGATACAGAAGATATAGCAGATAGATTGCAATTAAACTTAAGTTTATGTTTATCAACACTTAAACAAAGACCACATCGTTTGTTAGCTTTTGTTAATCCATTTGGTGGTAAAGGTAAAAAGGACAAATGTTTTTAATATTACCTTTTTAGAACAAGAGTGTTTCTCAGAAAAAAAAGTTATACTTAAAGGTAATTTTGATCATATTACTGAAAATACTAGGTCTAACAATCACTTAAAAGTAACCCGTTGTGTTTCTACGACTGGCAATTTAGTATTACGCGAAAATTGATTATTTTTAAAGATAATCTAATATTTAGGGTATGTTTACATCCTTTGGAGTTTATCACTTGTTATGATGAATATCTTTTTTTTTTCGTACATTAAACCTCGAGGGATATAGTCGGTTTATCTAATTAAAAATCAACCATCGATAGAAATTATTGAATGAAAGGCGACTATGCTTTACAGCTAAATTTTTGACCAGATAAGGAGATATACGTAGCCTTATATAGGAAGATTTCCTCTATCTAATGGTGTATGTATAATTAAATTCTGTTGCGTACCAAAATTTTCGATAGATGGCCCCACATTCGCTGTATATTCTATAGTAGGCACAGCAAATGTAGCGCCATCTATCGAAAATTTTGGTACGCAACAGAACTTAATAATACATACACCATTAGATAGAGGAAGTCTTCCTCTATAGGACTACGTATATCTCGTTATCTGGTCAAAAGGTCATAGTCGCCTTTACACTAGTCTTTAGTAGTATGAAGAAAAGTATTTCGTTAATACGAAAGAAGTTTTTTTATTTATTATCTAGGTCGAGCACGATTTGTATACGATAAATTAGTATTACCTTTATTTGCAGAAGCAAATATTAGTGTTAAACTAATTTATACAGAACGTGCAAATGAAGCAAAAGATCATTTGATTAATGAAGATTTGAATAATTATGATGGTATAATTTGTGTTGGTGGTGATGGAATGTTTGCTGAATTATGTCATGGTCTTTTATTACGAACATCTCAGGAAGCACATTTAACTATAGATGATCCACAAGTTAATTTAATTCGACCTGATTTAAGAATTGGTATTATACCAGCTGGTTCAACAGATGCTATTGCTTTTGGTACAACAGGTCTTAATGATCCAGTAACAAGTACATTACAAATTATTGTTGGTGAAACACTTTCAATTGATATAGCAACAGTAAATCGATTATGTCTAATATTTTTAAGTATATTTTTCTTAAATTTTCTGTTATTTTTTAAAGGTTCATAATGAAAAAGGATTTGTACGTTTTATGGCAGCAATGCTTGCATATGGTTTTTTTGGTGATATCATTTATCAATCAGATAAATGGCGTTGTCTAGGTCCATTAAGATATGATATAGCTGGATTTTGTCAATTTATTCTTAATAGATCATATCATACTGAATTAACAATTACATTATCACCTTCAAATTCATCACAACCAACAAGTAGTATAAATGCTGGAGATGAAACACCTGTTATGCCTAATTCACAACAATTAACAAATAATACAGATTTAAAAACAATTGGAAATAATCACATCGATAATCCATTAAAAATTATTGGAAAAATTGTTCTACCAGCATCAGTATTTTGCAGAAAAAATTGTGAAAAATGTGCTACAGAAGGAAAACATCATGCTAATAAAACAGATTCACCAACGCCAATCAGACTTGAAGGAAAATATACAACAATAAATTGTCTTAATATGCCATGTCGATCTGCAAAAAGTAAATTTGGAATATCACCGTTTGTTCATTTAGGTAAGTTTATTCCTTTATTAGATGATTTTTTTTTATAAATAATTGATTAGGCGATGGAACATTTGATTTGATTCTTGTTAAACGTTCTTGGCGTTCAGGGTTTTTACGTTTTCTTTGGCAAGTTGCTAATGATAGTCGATCTATAGAAGATTTACCTTGCGTTGAACGATATCGTGTTAGTGAAGTTTTAATACGTCCGATACATACGGACCGAAAACGACGTGGTAATTGGGCATGTGATGGTGAAATAATATCTGGTAATGAAATTAAAATTCGTATTCATCGTCAAATGCTTAATCTTTTTGCTTCGGGTATACAATGTGACAAAGTCGAAGAATATAATTCAACAAAAAAAATTCAAAAAAACAAATGTTGTTCATTTTTTCGACGTAGAAAACATAAAAGTCAAAAACATATATAATTAAATATTCGTTATATATTTTTTCTTCAAATGTTTTTGTAAAATTTTTTTTTCGAATATACCAGCAACAAGTAGATTTTTTCAATTTAAAATTAATTGAATATTATAGGCACATACATAAATATATTTTTTATTATATTTTATTGTGTTATTTTGTTTTAATAATGGATTAATAAAATATTGAAAAACTTCGACAATTTTTTCTCTTTTATCGGATATAGAACAATCTTTTATTTTGATTACTAGATTCCTATTGAAATGAAATACTTTCTAAAAACATGCGTTGTATTTCTATATGACAAAAAATCGATAGAAATCAAATACGGCCTGTCCACAGGTAACGCACTCACCCATTTTTGACCTTCCAGTTGTCATAGCTCACTAAACTCTGCATGACAAAGAGCTGAAATTTATACTGTAGCCAGATATATGAAAATTCTCGTTGCACTAAAATTTTTATTTCATTAAGTCAAATGGTAACGATTCTAGAAGGATCGAAAGGTGCGGTAACGCACTCATTCAAAAGGACCCTTCCATGACAGTGACTCAGAAAAATGTATATTTTCAGAAATTTTTTCGCTTCGAAAGAAAATATTTTTATTTATGTATAAAGCTAAGACAACAGACTTTATAATAATGAAACTTATTTTTTGGAAGTTTGTGCCTACAAACATTAATCAGGAAAACATCACGGTAATGCACTCAGCACTTGGTAACGCACTCATCAATTTTTTTTTGGCTACATATTGAAGCACATTTTTTTATAGGTTTAATAGCAATAGAAGGTGATCTATCGATGTCAAACAGTCAATCAGTCTTCGATAATACTACTATGATTTCCACTTTTTCAAATGATACAGTAGTGTTTGAAATATGATTGTGGGAATAAGGTCCCGTTTTTACCGTTTTTGGCACAAAAAATGCTTGATTTTGGCTGGCGACTGCCATTTATTCTCATTTTTTTTCAAAACAGATTACATCTATTGATAGAGCATATACGAAAACCTATAAAAAATTTTTGAATGAATGAGCTCGGTTGTCATTATGTTCAAGAATTTCTCTGCTCAACTTTGGCCAAGCTCGGCCCATTTTAGCTGGACAAGCCGAATAGTTACTTTTTTTATGAATATTTAATTACAGCAGTTTTTTCAATCATGAACCGCGACAGAAAAACATTTATTTTTCATCTATATAAAAAATTGTCTTGTAATTAAATCTGTCAGTTTATAAACACACAAAAAGTAATCAACAAAACAAACCTCATTGTTAGAAGAAAATTTCTTTCTCATCGATTTATTATAATATTTCGTAGTAAGTTATTAGTAATTTTAAAATAAAGAATATTCAACTAAATTAAAGAAAAACCATAAACATTTCAATATTAATAAGAATACCACAAAGGTGTGCAAATACGAACCGTCTCGAATATGTGTATGAATCGTCGCATCCTCAGCGTACAAATATCGATGATTCGGCCTAAGCGTATGCATACGAGCCCATATTCATTTTTGTCCACCTTTGGACTACAGAGAATACAAACAAAGAATGAAAATATTATCAAATTTATTGTTGCTAACAGAAATTATGAAAGAAGTTCAACACTGATATTAAATGATTTAGTATAGGAGTTATGATGGAATATTTCAAATTCAAAGTCATGTGATAAAATTTTAGTTATAGTTATGAATAATAAATTGCTTTGACTTTCAAATAGAATATATTTTTACGTTGATTAGTTAAAAAAAAACATCGACTGTTTACAAGGTTATTAAAGGTTGATATTGTTTATTACGTATCTTGATGAAAAGAAATCTATATACACAGTGGCTCCTAAAATTATCCGACAAGGTTCATTTTCAATTTTTTCCGCTATCTTAAGCGTTAGAAAGACTCCATATAGTGATTTCAACAGAGAAAATTGATTTCAATAAGAATATAACAAAATAAAAATTATAGCAAGATTCTCAAAGACTGGATCTTCGGAAAACCAAAACTCTAGATTTTCAGTACGCGTAAGTCGTTAATTTCTTTGTGCTTTAGCAGCCTAGAATGATAGAGTAACCAATTCTCTACAAAATGAGACGTCTCTGAGCTCTCTACGACCTTCTCTTCAAAAGTTGTAAACATCACAAAAACCGAAAAAAATGCTGTCTTTAGTCGTTTTTCTGTTAAATTTCACTTTTTCCCCGTTTTTGTGATGCTTATAACTTTTGAAGAGAAGGTCGTAGAGAGCACGGAGACGTCTCATTTTGTACAGAATTCGTTACTCCATCATTCTAGGCTGCTAAAACATAAAGAAATTAGCGACTTACGGGTGCTGAAAATCTAGAGTATTGGTTTTTTTGGAAACCCCGTCTTTGAGAATCTTTCTATAATTTTTTTTTTGTTGTATTCTTATTGAAATCAATTTTCTTTACTGAAATCACTATTTGGATTCTTTCTAACGCTTAAAGTAGCAGAAAAAATTGGAAATAAACCTTGTCGGATAATTTTGGGAGCCACTGTATATATCAATATAATGCGTAAAATCATAAGAATTCTGAATTATATATTTCATCTATTCTTACTCACAATAGCTTTTCTAAATACGAAGATTTTACATCAAGTCATTGATTAATTATAGACGAATGAAAATGATACAGATGTACGTTATTTTATTCTTTATGCTTCTTGTGATTGCGATTAAATAAAATGCTCATAATGTTATAAACAAATAAATCCATCAATATTAAGAAAAATAAAAACAACATGAAACAATACAAAAGTTTATTTAGTTAATATCAATATCAACACGAATTTGTACACCAGAAGCTAATGTGCCAAATGAAAATAAATATGGAAAACTAAAACACAAGAAATTTCTTTTTTGGTAAAAAATAATAATTATGTTCTTTTTACTTACATAATCGCAGCTTTCCAAGCTAAAGAAAATAAAAATCGAAAACAACGTGACATCATTGATTGCACATAAATATATGGTTGTAAATGAGAAGATGCCATGGAAAATACTTGTAAAGAAAACATTAGTTACACTAAGATCTATAAAACAAAAACTACATATAATTAACATAAAGAATAGAGCAGAGTCAAGAAGTCAAGCGACAAATGTCTGGATCTCTATGATTCATAGATATACGTAGGTTCTGTTAATATGACGAATACGACAGCGAATAACTCATCATCCTATCTATGTTTCCATAGGATTCTATGACATCAATGATCTTTTTGTTTTTTTTTCTCCTACTCAGACAAAAGGAGAATATAAATAGGATATAATTCTCGCGGCATTGTACTTATTCATAAGTAAGCATTTCTAACGTGCACAGAATACAATCATCGACATGGGCAATCTTCATCCATCTCGTTCTGAACGCCCAGAATTGAGCGAACGTGAATTATCTTATATAACCCTTCATACTCATTTTACAAGAAAACAGATAAACGATTTTTACATTCGATTTTTAAGTTATTATCCATGTGGTTATGTAAATTTTCAACAATTTTGTGATTTATATTCCAATGAATTGAAACATTTACATAATTCACGACCATTACTCGAACGTTTATTTCATCATATAGATATAGATAAAAATGGACAATTAAGTTTTAAAGAAATATTATTTTTCAAAGCTATTACTATGCCTGAAACAAATAATGATGAAAAATTTCGCTGGATTTTTTTTCTATATGATACTAATTTTGATCATCATATAGATGAATATGAATTTTTAAATTTATGTCATTTAGCTTATCATATTCATGGAAAATTATTAACAAAAGAACAATTAAATGAATTAAAAGTTCTATTTGAAAAATTTGATATTAATAATGATAGACAATTAAATTGTGAAGAATTTATACAATTATGTCAACAATGTCCTAATTTACTGGAATTAATAACACCAATGTTTAATAATACGAAATGGAATTCAAAAGTTAGTTTAATTTTTCTCTAGAAAATATATATATAATGGTTTAGTAATTTTTTGTTTTTTCTTTAGAAAAATCCTCGTTCAATGTCAACAACAACAAATGAACTTACATCAGATCGAATAGATTATTTAATGCATCGAACAAAATTTACTCGTGAACAAATTTTACATTATTATCAAATATTTGGAAAACATTGTCAGTCAGGTCGTTTATCAAAAAGTGAATTTATTAATTTTTATAAAAAATTACTTAAATCAAATACGTCTGATACTTATTGTGAATTTTTATTTCGTGCATTTGATAGTTTATCAAATGATGGTTTTATACAATTTGATGAATATCTTATTGCTATTTATATACATAGTAATGCAAGTACACCACGTGAAAAACTTGAATGGCTTTATAATGCTTATGATCGTGATGGTGATGGATTTATTAGTTATAATGAAATAAATCAAATTGTTCATGCACTTTTTATTTTATATGGTATTGATAGAGAAAAACATAGTGTAGGTTATATATCATATGAAATAATGACAATATTAGATTTAAATGATGATGATAAAATATCAAAACAAGAATTTATGAATATGCTTAAAGATAAAGAACTTACCAATTTCTTGGCACCATCACTTATTAAACAAAATTAAAATGATTTCAAAGCAAGAAAGAAAAATATATAAGACTTGATAGATGTTTGATTATTTGTCGAATCAAATAACAAATCAGATACTGATCAATAGATGACGCTACTTATAAATCGTTCTGAATTTTGGCATCTCAATTATTTTATATCAATTTTTCGCTTTCATAATTGATGTTTTTTTTCTCATTCTTTTTCTATTTTAATGGATTGTTTGAATAAACTATTTTATAAGAACTACACTTCAATGTTCTTGACAAATACAATACACTGTAACGTGAAATGATAAAAAAGAAGAGCGGAAATTACAGGAAAGAGAAAGTAATAAATAAATATACGAAAAAAATATCGAAAGAAAGAAAAGAAAAGAATGCATCACTTAATATGTTGTTCCCGTTTTTTTCCCATCATTGAGTTTGTATGT